ACCCAGGTGCAGGACCTTGCACTTGGCCTTGTTGAACCTCATGAGGTTCACACAGGCCCACCTCTCCAGCCTGTCCAGGTCTCTTTGGATGACATCCCTTCCTTCTGGTGTGTCAACCTCACCACTCAGCTTGGTGTCATCCGCAAACTTGCTGAGGGTGCACTCGATCTCGCTGTCTAAGTCATTGATGAAAATGTTAAAGAGCACCGGTCCCAGTACGGACCCCTGAGGGACACCACTCGTCACTGATCTCCATCCGGACATTGAGCCATTGACCACTACCCTCTGGATGCGACCATCCAGCCAGTTCCTTATCCACCGAACAGTCCACCCATCAAATCCATAGCTCTCCAATTTAGAGAGAAGGATGTTGTGGGGGACCGTGTCAAAGGCCTTGCAGAAGTCCAGATAGATGACATCCATTGGTTTCCCTCTGTCCACCGTTGACGTCACACCATCATAGAAAGCCACTAGGTTCGTCAGGCAGGACTTGCCCTTGGTGAAGCCATGCTGGCTATCTCGAATTATCTCCTTATGTCCACAGTGGCCTACAGAGGTAGTCAGATGACCAAAAGGAGCTGAGTCCCTCTCTTCCTCTTCTCCATCAGCTCTATTTCCTAGATCTCCATCGACTGTGATGGCAGTTGTCCCATGGACACACCCACAATGCCTAACCTAATTCCAGGCAGCTTCTCAATGGTTACACACAGGCCTGTAGTGCTCCATGAGATGCCAGCGCTCTCCAGCACTATTGCATGTGGCTGGCAGGGACAGCCATTCCTGTTCAGAGGCAGATATCCCAGGCAGTGCTGCAGGCACTTCCAATGCCTTTGTGCAAGCCCAAATCACTTCTCAGGGAGATTCGGTTTCTGTTGGCCAGTGACTGAATCCTACCGCTGCACCCAAGTGCATCCTGCTGACACTGAGAAGTTAGTGCACAGGAAGCCCATCACACTGGGGTCTCCCATCATTTGGCTACTCCCAAACTCTGTTGGTTCTTCTTTTAGGAGTCCTTTGCTCAGCCCCATGATGATACAGTCAAGGAAGGGCCTGATGATTTTCACAGTGTTCCTGGATGACAGCATGTCCAAAGCCCAGGACATTTTCAGCAGCACCTTGTCCTCCTGGTGATCAGCTTCACCTCCACCACAGTCCCTCAGAGGCAGCAGAGACACTCTAAGCAGCAAAGCCCTCTCCTTCCATGCTTGGGCAGCTCAGCTCTGCTTTTCTCTGGCCTTGGAAACAGCAGGGTTTGCTGTCTTTGGGGGCACGTCCTTTCACCTTCATTTGCCATCTGCCATCCCGTCCAGCATGTCTCTGCTCTCAAGCACAGCATTTGCACACATGGGGTCTTGAGCACCTGGTACCATGTTTGCCTGTGACAAGCCTGAACTTGGCCCCGGTGCCACAGCTGAGGTGCTGCAGCTCAAACAGGCACCAATTCCCTCATCCCGGGGCACACGCAGGATGAACTGGGCTCCCGTGTGCCATCACAGAGTTTTGACATTGATGGAAGAAGTGGCGAGGTGTGGTGGGACAGCTCAGACTGCTAGTGATGCTGCAATAGTGCATGGGGGCTTTTCAGGAGAGGCAGGATGGCATGATCAGGAGGGGGGCGCCCTCCATGTGCAGGAACTTGTCTTATGGATGGAGCTCCTCTGTGGGGTGTGCAACAGGTTGGGTGAGCCCATATAGGTGAGAGTCAGAGGAGAGGACTGTTACTGAGACATCATGGGGAGAGATGAAAAACCTGCAGTCAGGCTTAGAAAGTGGAGAAAGGCTTATTTAAGCAACCCAAGGAAGTCTCCATATCCATGACTCCAGTGCTTACTGGGGACTTTAATGACCCTCATCCCTTTTAATGACGTGGATCCCATTTCTGCTGAGAGTGTGACAGTGAGGCCACTCTCCATCAGCTTTGAAAAGTCATGGAGACTGAGGGAACCCCTTGATGACTTGCAGCACCCAAACGCTGCATGCACCTTTCCAAAATGCCCAGTGGAGGATGCAGGGGTGGAAAGGCTGGGCCCCAGATCATGTCCACTTGGATCCTGTTTCTGTGTGTCTGAAAGAGAAAGTGACTGCGTTTGCCCTAGGGAGATTGTGCCTGGCCATCCTCTTTGCTTTCTGTGATGACACTGGATGTGGAGAGAGCAGCGGTGGTCTTGTACCTGGGCTTCAGCAGGGCTTTCGGCATCACTGCCCACAATATCCTTGTCTCCAGCTTTGGATATTATAGTCTGCATGGGTGGATAGGTAGATGGGTAAAATAGCAACTGGATGGTGGGTCCTGGGAGGGATGTGGTCTTCTGCCTGGAGGCATCCAGCTAGTAGGGTCCTGCAGGGCTCTACCCTGCAACTGACCCTGTTTAACGTGGTTTGAATGACCTGGAGGAGATGAGAAGCTGGTTTTTCATAACATTTGCCGAAGCCACCTCACTGAGGAGAGGAGACACTAGAGTGGAGGGGAGGGCTGCCATCCCAAGTTACCTCGACACGCTAGAAGTATGGGCCAGTGGAAACCCCATGATATCCAATAAGGACCAGT